AAAGGCTTAAGTTGGGAGTTGCATGAACTATGACCATAGATGCCAGTTAGCAGCTGAATGAAGTTTGATAATGTCTGTATACTGCAAAGACCAAAGTTGAGAGCTGCACCAGATGTGTTAACATACATGAACCACAAAGGTTGGAGCTGAGAGTTGTAAGTAATGGCCCGTGTAAGTTGTAATTGGTCACATAGAACATTGCAAGGATTTGTAATAATTATTTTAGGCCGCAAAGCCTAAAGTTGGGAGTTGTATGAACTATGATGAATTTTCTAAGCTATAGAGACCATAATTGGGAGTCACATAAGTCGTAATAATGTCTATAAGTTGCAAAGGCTAGAGTTAGGAGCAATCTTACACCTAAAATTCATAATATTTTTGTACACATTTTTATACCTATTTTTTTATATATTGCACTTTAATGAAAGGTATTTGGGTTTTTTTCTTTCAGGTACAATCAAATAGATCAAAAATGCAAATAGATCAAAAATGATAAAAGGAGTGAAAAAAGATCAAATTTGGAGCAAAAATTAAAAAGGTTCAAAAAATTGAACTAGGGCGCCTAAGCACCCAGTACTGGCGCTTACGCGTCGGTTATTTAGAGAGAGTTATGCCTAAGCGCCAGGTACCCCACGCTTTAGCGCCAGAAGTAGTTATTTGATGATTCATTGAATTTGGATGAACTTTTGAAGAAGTGTTTGAAGCAACCCTTGGTAAAAACGTGGGAAATAGTTCATGGACATGAAAATTTATTCAGTTGGCTTTTGAAAGGAGATAACTTCTAGTTGATTCATTAAATGGAGATATATTTTAAAGAGACACCAAGGCACCTCTTGGAATTTTATTAAATAAGACTTGGATCATCAAGGGAGAGAGGTTAATCCACATCCAACAACCATCATTCATCCTATTAATCAATGCCGGCGGCGGCGGCCACCTTTTCACTTTATTTTGAGTTTTAGTTTGTTTTTTGAGTGAATGGAGAGAATTCAAAGGAACTTCAAGACATTTGGTGGAGATGATTTGAGATAAGTGTTTATCTTTGTGACTGCATTTGGTTTTAATTTAGATTACCTCTTTGTGTACATGATTTCTTTTTTTAAACTCAAGTGTGGTTATATTTTCTCAATGAATTCTGAGTAGTTTTCGTTATCTTTCCTTAAAATGAAAAGTGATTAAATATTGAAAGGAAGTTGTGTCAAATATTAGACTTCAATGTTGGAACAAGTTGTGATGATTTGAAACCTTACACTTCATTAACTTTTTGATTTGGCCAAGATGTTAATACCTGTTGTGAGAACATTTAAGATCCCAGATGGTATTATTTCAATCAACAAATGTTAAGAATCACATTTGATTTCATGGATGAGAATGTAGTTCATAGGATTGAGTGCAAATAAATAAAGAAATAAACTTTCACAGGTGAAAAATTAGAAGACTTTAGAGTGACAGGCTAAAACCCCCAATTTGATTTATAGTGTTAGGTTTTGATAGGAGATGTTAGCCCCTAGGTGGAGGGAGAAGAGTGAACTCTAAAGTGAGAGCTAGTATCTTCCCTACCTAACCGGTCTTCAAAACTATTCAAACGATATTTTGTTATAGCATCTCTAGTAAGGGTAAAGAATATTTCTGCTCCTATTTGGCATAACACATTTAGAATGCTTCCAACACAGAATTTTTATACTTGTTACTGCTTCATGATAAAGAAAAAAAAAATTATTTATATTACCTTCATCTTGTAAGTATTTAGTTAAGTTAATTAGTTGTTTACTTTATTTAAATTATCAAAAAATTACAAAAAGTATTGAATTTCATTCCTATTATAGCATCTCTAATTTAAGTAATAATATTTTGCTAAGTAGAATTTCGTTATCTAACTTTTTTTTTTGTAGAGTGCATATTGTCAATTTTCCCTATAAGTTCAATATTCGAGGCTTAATCAAAAAGTTCTATATTACTTGATAACGATACGTATACTTGCGTAGTATCTCATATTTAATTATTATAACTTTATTCTTATTTACTTCATAAAAATAAAATTTTCCTAGCTTTTGCATGGGATCAAATTTTTGACACTGTTGGAAAGTAAGAATCATTATTAAGAAAGTTAAGCATATAATCGCATAAATCACAATAAATATCTATATAGATAGTGGGGATCATGCTTTTGGCGCCGTTGCCGAGGAAAATTGCAAAATTTTCAAAAGAGGTTTTTAGAAAGAAAATTTTCTATTTTTATAAAGTCTTATTTTAACTTTAAGATTTATTATAGGAATATTGTTGTGTTGTTTTTATGTAAAGTTCTTGTTTGTGCATTTTTTTTATTTTTATGTTTTATGTTTTATTTTATGTGTTTCATAGTAATGTATGCATAGTTCAGGTTACATAAGACTTGCGCTTTAGAATTCTGAATTAGAAAAAACTATTAGAAAAATTAAAAAATTAAAAATTACTGAAAATTTTCAAGAAATGACAAATTAAAGTAATCAAAATGCTGAAAATTTAAACCTTTAATAGATTATGCAAACCCTATGGTGGATGAACTTGAAATATCTTTCTCCATATATTGAATCAGTAATAAGTATAGGAATTCTGTTGTGAAAGTATTCAAATTGTGTTGTGTCAAATAGGAGCAATATTATTTTTTACCCTTACTAGAGATGCTATAAAGAAGATTGACTAATTTAAAGTTTGAATAGTTCTGAAGACCGGTTAAGCAGGGAAGATACTAGCTCTCACTCTAGAGTTCCCTCTGTTCCCTCCACCTAGAGGCTAACATCTCGTATCAAAACATAAAACAATAAACCTAGTTGGAGGCTTTAGCCCGTCACTCTAAAGTCCTCTAACTCTACACCCTTCAAAGATTATATCCCTATTTAATTGCACTCATTCATATGAACTACATTCTCATTCATACAATCTCATTTGATTCTTTTCAATTGTTGACTGGTTGACTGAGACAACTGAGACAATACCATCTTGGTTCTTACATGTTCTCACAACAAATTTTAGCATCTAGATGGGCTAGATCAATAAGTAAATGAAGTGCATCGAATTAAATCATCACAAATTCTTCCAACATTAAAGATTAATACTCTCTAAAACTTCCATCCAAAACTTTAATTATTTATATACTTATCATTTTAAGTATACTTATCATTTTAAGAAGAAAGATAAAGAAAATTACTCAGAATTCATGGAGAAAAAAAAAACCACACTTTAATTTAAAATTAGAAATAATTTTCAAACCAACAAGAAGTCTCAATTAAAACTAAAAGCAGTTTAAAACAAAGATAAAAACTTATCTCAAATCCTCTACCAAATTCTTGAAGTTCTTTTGAATCTCTTTTGAATCTTCTCTCTTACAACACTGAAGTGAAGTTCCATTTCATTAACTCAGAGACAGTCTTCAAAGCACTTTAAGGGAGATCCTAGCTTTATGAACACCAAATTGTTCCTTCATCCCGCCATCAATACATTAAGTACTAGAGAGACGACATAGGTTGTTGCATTAATGTTGAATTACAACCAGCATTAACGATGAACTACAACCATTCTTAGTCCAAGAAGTCAAAATTCATGAAAATGCAACATATACTACATACCAATGAATTGATTAGTTTTCTTCATAGAGATACCCGCAACTACATACATGGGAAAAAGAAAAAAAAAGTGCAATAAAGAAGAAGGTTGATAAAAATGGCAACAAAAGAAAATAAAGAAAAGAAAAATTCCACAAGAAAAGGATTAAAAAAGAAATGATAACAAAAGAAAAGGATGAAAAAGAAAAACAAGAAACATCTTCATAAGATGAAGAAAAAAACCAAGTTGGGTTGATCGAGTATTAGAACAATCGAACTAAGGAGAGCCACAAAACATCATCGATAATAATCTAATCAATGCAAAGGATATTTTCAAGAACAACTGCCGCCTAACAACGATTCTTCATTTATAGATTCATCAACCGAAGGTAGGGTGCCCGTCAGATTACGTTAATATGCCCTCTGCCTGATGAAATAATTCTCCTAGAGGAAAACGAATCTTCACAATGTATTCCTCTAAAAAAAAAAACTACAGATAGTTCAGTTGGTCAAGCGACTTCTTGGTCGACTGAACGAATATCTCATGACCAACCCTAGCAGTTACAAATACGAAACAATGCTTAGGACAGTCACTGACTCACGGATATTTAACAACGCCAATAGCAGTCGCAATGTCAAAATATTTTCAATTATGTTACAAAAATATAAAGGTGTAATGACTCATAAATAACTGTAACATCCCATTAAATGAGGGACAATCAAGTAATTTACGAAACCCCTTCCTATGATCTATGAATAAAAGGACGACTAGATCTATTCTCATAGAATTGGTTCCATCTTACTTTACTCCTCTATTTGTCTAATTCTATTATCCGACCTATGATTTACTCTTTAGGTGTGACCCCGAAGTTATTTTGAAATTAAACATTTGATATGTATGTAAATCTGATATACAAAACTTTTAAATAAATAAAATATGATTTTTTTAAATAAATTCGCCGATAGATTTTAAAACGTTGCCCAATGGAAATCACACTCTTAAAATAAGTTTTATCAAACTGTATTCCAAGTATCTTAAAAATATGTATATATATATAGAAAAAATCCTGCATCCCTTGCCTCCGACCATTCGTTGCCCGCGGGTTCTCTGGTGCGCTCGCGCTTCACTCGCATGGAAGAGCGCTGTAGTAGTAACCTAGGCTCTTTCAATATCCAACATAACCTTCACGTCGTCGATGGCGACGCCTCTTCGGCCACCGCTGGCAAAGAAGTCCTCTCCGCTTCGTTCTTCTCCGCCGCCGTCGATGCAAACCCATTCGCGGTTCCCCAAGCCGTAGCGCACGGCCATCTTCAGCACGCCCGGCAGCCGCCGCCGCCACCATTGCTGCTGAGTTTGCAAAGCGGAAGCGAGGACGTCCGAGGAAGTACGGGGCGCGGTCATCTCTCCATTCCTTTTGCCTGCCGAGCTCCGCAATGTCCGGCGCGGCCGGGGCTTCACCGTCGCTGGTGCAGGAATCTCCCAGCTCCTCGTCAAGGAAAAAGGAAACCAAAGCTTCCAACTCTTTAGCTAGGAAAGCTCAGTTAACTGCTCTGGGTTTGAACTTAAAACACTTTGCATGTTTTTCTTCGTTTAGTCTGAGATGTGAATGTTGCATGCATGGCGGCATATTGTTATTTTTAATTTTAGAATAGAATGAATCGTAAAGCTCTTCATATATTTTTATTGATATGTTTATTTATAATTACTTTGCCACGTGTTGGTTATATTATATAAAAGCGGCAATGTATGATTGGTTTCAGGCTGAATTCCATTGCTTTAACTGGAACATTTGAGACAAAAAAATACTGATGTTGGATTTATTGGAATTTATTGGAATCTCTCGTTTTACATGCCATTTTTCTTTCTTTTTTTTTTTTTTGGACTTGTTTTACGTTCACGCCTAGTCTAGATGGCTTCTAATCCATATCTTGTGAAGTAACGTAGCATAGGTTATTAGATTAATGCGGTTGTTGTAGTAGTGGTTGAATTTTTAGGATTGGTCGAATTACAAGAAAAAAGGTTATTTAGTTTAGGATTATGAAACAAGTTTCTGGCTGACAACTACTTACAATGGATTGCAAGTTTTTATTTTTAATTTATTTTTTTTATGCTAAAATATGAGGGCTTCCAATGCTTTGGGATGTTAGCAAAGTGTTGGAGGTACTTTAAGTCAGGTGAGTATGTAATTAGAAATTGTGTTCTTTTTTTTTCCTGTAATTTTTAAAATGTTTTATATATTTACAGAGCAGGAGGACACAAAAGTTAGGGTGTGGTCAATTAAGTATATCTCGTTTCTGTGATGGTTTTTGGAGCTTATGGGTTTGGGAACGTAGCATGGATGTGGAAGAATAAGAAATAAGAGAGAAAAAGATATGTTAGATTTCACAAACTATAGGTATATTTGATTTGCAAATTAAATTTAAAACCTGTCTGCAACTATTGGGAGACATATGCCTTTGTAAGAGATCAAAGCTATTTCTTATTGAATCAATAGGTGAATAAATAACTATAGGGAGTATTGTTGGAAATGAAAAACCACACAAGAAAGTACTTTAAAATCTTTTCTTGAATTTTCTTTTTTAGATTATATTGGCGGCGTCATAAGATATTCCCCTACTTGAAAACAAATAATACAACTTCAATTTCAAGTATTTAAATAAATATTTAATTGCTTCCCTTTAATCCTTTATTAGGGTTGATTATCATGATTCTAATATAAATTTTTATATTTACAGTGTTTAGTTTCCTATTTTGGTGGAAAATAAAATAAAGAAGAATTAATGTTTAATTAATTATTATTATAATGGGCATTTTAAATTTATATTATGAGAAGCCTTCTTACTCGTCCTTTATCAACTCTCTATCATATGATGAACTTGCATCACAATACTAAAAGTGTTTTAGTTAAGTGGGACAATATTTCATGAGCCTTTATAAGTGAAAAGATTGAATTTTGTTGCATTTGGAGGTACAATAACTATAGCTATTGAGGTTACTAATAATGATGATAATCTTATAAGTGAAATTTGATCCGATGTAAGTGGATTAGTTTGGCAGTCACAATGCTTGATGAACCCTTGAGATTGATGCATATCATATGTGATAAAAACAATTGCAAAAAATAGATTAGGAGAAAAATTAGAAAATAAGTAATTTTTCAAAGGCTAAAACTCGTCATATTGTTTTTGGAGTGTTTATAATTAAGGAGTTTAGTGTAGTTTAAGTCAATTCTTTTTTATTTTCTAGATGAATATGGTTCTAGCAATGTTATTTCTATATATGTTAACTGACTGTGGTACATTTGTTGACTAAAGATTGTATATATGATGTTCTATTAAAATGCAATATCATACAATTAATGATGAGTCATGTCGATCTAATCAATTTGCATTGATAACAAACCATAAAGAATCATAATGTAGCTTAGGATGATTAATTTATAGAGTCAAATCTAATAATAGTGATTTTGGAGTAAGATTAAACTTAGCTTTATGCCCATTTAAGGATGGTAGGTCATCATTGGACACTCTAATATATGTTTCAAATTGTATAGGTTAGCGTTTGAGATCATAATAGGTAAATGGATCTCAAGGAAAAAAACGCTGTTATGCACCTCAAGAAAAGCAGTCTAGTCATGCATGTTATTATGGTTAGAAATTTCAAGTTGAGAGTCAGATAACATCTTAGTGGTGCATTAATCTTCTTAGTAGAATAATTTTTGTCAAGCATGACATTAGATGATTGATTTGAAATTTAAGACTGATGATTTGAGACCACATTAGTTTTGTGCTTCTTAGATGTAGTAGGAGTCTTATCAATGAGCTCAATGGATAAATGTATAAGTAACCTACTCAAAGATTGAGCATATAATAAATGTGCTACTTTCAATAATAAGACTTACAATAAAAGGTTCATTAGCATGAAAACTAAAGATAAATGGGGGTTCTAGCTCATTAGCTTATGCATCTTAGATAGTTGAGTTTTTAGTTCAGCCCAATACATTTATTTGGATGCTTACATATTTTGTGAATGGGAACACTTTATAAATCATATTTAAAAACTTATTAATTTTTAAATAGGAGAGGGGATTATCTTATGATTGTAAAGTTTAGGATATCTTGGATAATATTTAGTTTTGAAAATTTCTTTCATATCTACCTTGTTAGTGTTTTACTAATAAGTTTTTTCTTTCTCTTTCTAATATATCATTTCAACTCATTTTGTTCTTTTAAACAATTTTAATTTTGCATAGTTAGTTCATTCTGTTAACTAAAAAAAATCTCTAATTGTTTGAGCCAACATAGAACCTTGTTAATATAGTGCCACAATCAAATGTAGAAATTGTAAGTTTTTGTTTGGCGTAGGGGGGCTTTTAGTGATGTAAACAAAGGCCTAATTACAAACACATAATGAGAAGTTAAAGCGCTTTTAAAATCTGAAATTATAAAGATAAAATTGAAGAATTCTGTTTTAAATATTGCTTGACTGAAAGAATTTTTAGGTGTGAGTGGGGGGTCGCAATGTATTTCTTAAGCTTATAACTCTCTTTAGATAGCTTAAGCCTTTTGGAAAGTCTTTTTTAGTCTTATAAATACAAAGCCATGCATTTTTTTCTTAATCTTTTTTTTTGGAAGAAAAATGATTATGCAAAAGTGAAAAAATGATGCTTATGCAACGATGAAATGGAAGTGTATGGAATTATTTTCTTCGAGTCTTTAAACTTTTGCTGCTAGCTTATGTTCATAAATAAAGATAAGCATGTATAAAACTAATTAATTATGAGTAAACATCAAGAAAACTTGACTTTAATATTGCTTATTTTAATAGGTTTCTCGGAATAATTTATTACTTATTTTTCCCCAATATTTCTTGCAACACTTATGTATCGAAGAGAGGGTTAGGTTTTAATTTTGGATTATCTTATCTTTTATGTAGTATTCACTCTTTAGATGACTTATAAATTAATCATAGAATTGTAAATATAACATGTTAATATTTGATATGTTTTAGCATAAATCCTTATCAAAGTAAATGAATTTAGCAACAAAGGAAACGAAAATGTTACTTTAGGATTTGAAAATGCCTTTTTAATGAAGTAGAAGATCACTTTTTGAAAAAAAAAAATAAAAAAAAAATTGAAGAATCCTTTTTTAATGGAATTTGAAGGGCTTAATGTATTGATGATGTTGCTTCTTTGGTTTGCTAAACTTTGCTTATGAGGTATAGATGATGCCACCGAGGAGTTCCTGTGCGTGAAGGAAGGAGAAGTGCGGGATTACCTGCTTACAGCATTTATGCCACTACTGGTTTGCTGGTGTAGGAGACGAGCGAAATTGAGCTCTCGTGCGTCTCACGTAAGGGAGAAGGAAGATTACGGCTTGCGGCAATATTGCTTACACACAAAGTAAGAGAGGAAGAAGGATCTTGCTTGCTCAGTTTGGTCGAGCCGAGATCAAAGGAAGAGAAGGGAAGTTGCGTGTGTGCAGGTTATAGTGAGTGACCGAAGCGCAGGGGTGAGCTATCAGTTTTTTTGTTAAGTTTTAATTATATAATTTTAATTGATTAAATAGGTTATAATGTTAACATTTAAAGTCTTGTGAATTTAAAATAGGCTAGGTTACGTTTTGATGGTTCACATATACTAGATGTGAAGTTAGGAGTATAAAGTAAAAAATAAAGTTAAAGTTAATGCATATAGAAGTTTAAGTTATCTCCATTAAGTAAAGTCATGGACGCATATATTAGATTATTATTGAAGTATGAAAGATCAACATGAATATTATTTTCTTTTCTTTTGGTTACTATAGTTTTAAAGTGTGATTGCTCCTGGGTTATAGTCAGATTACTCATTATGGTTTAATATTTTTTTTTATGTTTAAGCTTTTATATAAGATGAATACTAGAAGCATTAATTTATATAGAAGAAGAGGTTAAAAACTAGAAATATAATTTTTATTTCTTAATTTATTTGCCTTCTTTAGTGGCTCACTTAATTAATATTTAGACATTAAATTGCTAGTGATAGAATTAGAATAACAGAAAATTTAATTCCACTATCTATTTTTGCTTTGGTTAATTTCAAGCTCCTGGCCGGGTCGTGACAATGATCTTGACTTTGTATAACTTTTTTATCACTCTAAATGAATGCAAGTAACTTAATGTTAGACTAATATAGAGTTTGAGATTTTCAGTGAAAGCAATTAATTTTCCCTTATACTTGGGGAAACATTCTTGAACTGGAAGGCTTCCATAAAGATTATATAAATAATGAGAAACTACTCTTCTGTAGGAGGCATAAAAATGGTTAAAATGTCCACAAACATATCAGGACTATAAGGTATAGTTTTCTCAAAAGTTCTGTGATAGTTCCTGCTTGTCTTGATGTTTTTATTATTTAAATAATTAAACCTACTCTTTTTGGCGACTTATATAATTTTTGCAAAAGCCTTACTTCATATAGCAGCTATTGCTGGCTTTTCCACCTTCAACGTTCTTTAAGAAGCCATGCATTATTTTGGAATAGAGCTCAGACTGAGCAAATCCGTCAAAAGGAGTACCTTGGCCATTGCTGCGTTTGTAGGTGAATTATTAGCTATTCTCATATCCTATTTAGGATGGACATCTTTGTCAATCCAGAGGTTTCTACTTCGGTTTGTAGCATGAACCTTGCTTTTATTTTTTCCATTTTTTGATAAGATGGACACGTTGTGATTTCTAGTTTGTTTCTCTATTGAACATGTTCACCTTATGAGCCACATGTCTGGCTCCATTTAATTTTTGTTGGTTAGAATAAAAAAATACCATGTTATCATAAAACTTTTTCTAGAATTAACTTTGAAAATGGGTCCTCGACTATTCGTAGCTGCCCAACTTAGTCTATAGTATCATATTTCTCCGATATGGCTATGCAACGATACAAATTGATCTAAAAATTGTCTCTCAAGAACTAAATTGCTATCAACTTTGTTTAGTTAAAGAATTAAACTAGGACTAAATTTCATATCACAGTTCCTTCATGAGAGACCATCTTGGGTTAATTTTGTGCACAAGAGAGACTAAATTTGAGAAATTTAATACTTTAAGACTAAATTTGACACATTCAAATGGTCAGGGGACTGTTTTAGGATATGTATCTATATATATATATATATACAATGTA